GAAAAAAATGAATGAATGAAGGGCTACAAATGGCAAACTATCCCTCTTTTTTATGGGTGAGTTGTATTCCATTACATATACATGTGCTGCATCTTCATTCTCTATTCAACTATTGATGTGCACTTAGGATGCTTCCATATCTTGGTAATTACAAATAATCTTGCTCTTAATAGCAGGGTGTATGTATCTTTTTGAGTTAATTCTTATTTTGTGGTTGGTTTTATTCCTTTGATAACTATGTAAGCTTAAAAAGCTAAAGCTCTAAACGTTCTTAGACACAATGAACAGTACATATATGTAAATTTAAAAATATGTGCAGTAAAAATATGGGGCTGGTAAATGGAATTAATTTAGAGGATTCTTACACTGTGAAGTTGTCAAAAAAAAAACTGGAATCGGTTAAGGATGCATATCACGATTTCCTGGGTAACCACTAGAATAATATAAAAAGGTACAGCTACAAAGCCAATAGAGGAGATAATATAGAATTATAGAAGATATTTTATAAATCTAAAAGAAGGCAAGAATGGAGAAAGGGACAAAGAAGAAATGTGACAAACAGAAACAAACAGCAGGATGTTAGACTCATTGTGTCAATGTTAATGGACTGAATACTCCAATTTAAGGGCAAAAATTACCTGACGGGAAGAAAAGAAACAACCATGGGCTCTTTACAAGAGGAAGACTTTAAATATGAGGAGTTAGATCAGTTGAGAATATAGGTATATGTGTATGTGCACCATGAAACATTAACCACAAGAAAACTGGAACATGATAAGGAAATCACTATCCAACATATATAAACAGCTCGTACAACTTAACATCAAACAAGCAAACAACCCAATTAAAAAATGGACAGAAGACCTGAATAGACATTTTTCCAAAAAGGAAATGCAGATGGCCAACAGGCACATGAAAAGATGCTCAACACTGCTAATTATCAGGGAAACACAGATCAAAACCACAATAAGATATCACCTCATACGTGTTAGAATGGCCATGATCAAAAAGAATACAAATAACAAATGCTGGCAAGGATGTGGAGGAAAGGGAATCACTATGCACTGTTGGTGGAAATGTAAATGGGTGCAATCACTGTGGAAAACAGTATGGAAGTTTCTCAAAATACTAAAAATAGAACCACCATATGACCTAGCAATTCTACTCCTGGGTGTATATCTGAAAAAAACAAAAACACTAATTCAAAAAGATAGATGCACTCCAATGTTCTCAGCAACACTATTTACAATTGCCAAAATACAGAAACAATCTAATTGTCCATCAACAGATGAATGGACACAGAAGATGTGGTACATACACAATGGAATACTACCCAGCCATAAAAAAGAATGAAAATTTTGCCATTTGCAGCCACATGGGTGGACTTGGAGAGCATTATACTAAGTGAAATAAGTCAGAGAAAGACAAACACTGTATGATATCACTTACATGTGGAATCTTAAAAAAATAATAATAATAATGAATATAACAGAAAACAAGCAGGCTCACAGATATAAAGGAACTAGTGGTTACCAGCGCAGGGACAGGGACAGTACAGGGGTTGGGGAGGGGGAGGTACAAAGTGCTGGGTGTAAGGCAGGCTACAGGCATGTATCGTACAACATGGGGATACAGCCAATGCAAATGGAGTAAAACGTTTAAAAACTGTACAAAAAGTAAAATAAAAGATAAAAAAGAAAGCTGGTACAGCCATATTAATATAGACAAAGCATGAAGTATTAATCAGTAAAAAGAGAGATTTCATAAAAATAAAAGGGTCAATTAATCTAGAAAACACAAACTATTCTAAATATGTGCACCAAATAATAGAGATTCAAAATATCATGAAGCAAAAAGTGATAAATCCAAAAGGAAATACGCAAAAAAACAGACAAATCCACTCTCACCACAGAGATTTCTGAAGCTCAGACCAAATGGACAGAACATCCGACAGGATACAGAGACCTGAGCAGCACCAATAACCCGTCCGACCACAGCGACACTGAACACTAAACCCAATACCTGCGGAGACACAGTCTCCCGAGGGCACATGGAGCACCCCCCAAACAGCCCTCCAGCCAGGCCGAAAAGCAGGCCTGAGTACATTTCCAAAGACTGAAATGGTGTATTTTTTGGCCAAACATGATCAAACCAAAATTAAATAACAAAAATACAAAATGTCCCAAATGTTTGGAAATCAAGCAACACACTTCTGAATAGCCCAGGAAATTTCTAATTTCCATCGTGATATATTAGAAAGTACTTTACCTCAACACTAATGAAAACACCGTGAATTCAAATGTCTGAGGTGCAGCTAAATGGTGATTAGAAGGAAAGTTTCAGCTTTAAAGACACACATTGGAAAAGAAAGGTTTAAAATCAGTGACCCAAGCCTCCATCTCAAGATGCTATGAAAAGAGAAAATTAAACCCAAATAGAATAGAATAAAGGAAATAAAAGCAGAAATCAGTGAAGCAGAAAACAGAGGAGCAAAGAGAAAGTAAACAAAGGTTTCTTTTTTGAAACACAAAACTGGTAACAACCCAAAAGATAAAACACAAATTGTGACCGTCAGGCATCTCTTCTGCAGCAGAGGGTGCTACTGCCAGGATAAACAACACTACCATGGCTTGTAAGTAACCAGGAAAACTAAAGCAACATGACACCATTTCCAACCCATCAGACCAACCGAAATCAAAAAGCCTGATGCTCTCAGGTGTTAGGAAGTACTCGGGGCTCCTGGGAAAGCCGCCTGGGAGAACAAGTGATCAATACCAAGTAAAACTGAAAATACGTAACGCCTTCCAGCCCACAGTGGCATTACTGGCAGACACCCTGGAGCACATGTGCACAAGGAGACGCACAGCAGGACAGCACTGTCTGAAACAAAGGGAAACCAGAAACAATGGAAGTGTCCCACAAAAGGGAGAGAGATGAAATGTGGTACACACCCACTGCCTAGCAGTAAGACTGAACCGACCTACATACCTTCTGTGAATGGGATACATTCACAGAAAGACCATGCTACAGGACCATCCTTCAGGACTGAACCAGCTCTACACATACATTAAGGACAAATCCCTCAAAAGTAACGTTGGTGGAAAAGGCCGGCTACAGAGGACACACACTCCGTGCCACCACTTAGGTACATTCTAGGAAGCATATTGTCATTCTAGTGTCACAGTTCACCGCAGAGTTTGCCTGTGGAGACAGAGGAAGAAGACTAGGAACAGGTGGGGAACAAACTTCACTCACGGTTCGGTTATTCATATACATACATATATACACACACACATGCAGACACTCTGAAGTAAATATGACAAAATGTTAACAAGTTTTCACTTCTGTGTAATACATACTTGATGTTTACAATATTATTCTGTAAATGTTCCTATATTTTTTACTTTCCCGAAATAAAAATGAACCATCCATGAAATCAAAACTTTTAATGATTAATTTTTAAAAAGATTAATAAAATGACCCAACTACAAACAAAATTTCTATATATAAAAACTCGAATGAATTTAGAATAATCATTAGAATGAAAAGAAAAAAATGTTAAAATTGATATCACAGACACAAAAATGTTTGATTTTTAAAAAAACATTATTATTATTCACTTGTTTTTTAATTTTATATAATCAACACTCCTTGAAATTTAAGGTGACTTTTTTTTTTTACTGTTAACTTAAATGAAATTATATGTGTCCCAGGCAGAAAAGCAGTATGAATACATAAATATTTTCTAATGTGTCCAAGCTGTCCGTAACATATTATGTCTGGGACATTTTTAAACAATTAAAAAAATACGCTTTCTTCACCAGCTCAAGTACCAAACATGGAACTCCAGAATCCTGGGAGGTGTTTCCAACGCCCAATTCACAGTGTCACTTGTGACCTTACAAACAGTACATTTCCTCTAGTTAAGCATTCCCTCATTGGTGGCCACCTTCCAAGGTCCAAGTAAAGCACCATCACCCTGGGCTAAGTTCAGCTCTCTGAAATGGTAGGGTCTTTAAATACAAGTCCTTACACAGCAGAACCAAAATTACCTGCAGCTCACTTCCGGGGCAGTCACCTGGTGTTGCCATCCTTCCCCTGGGATCTGCGCATAGCTGCTGCTTTAACCTTCCATTTCCCTCTCCATTTCTGCTTTTAAAAGAGAGAAAATGAGAAAATGCTTGTTACATTGCATGATAACTAAGTTCACATAACTTCTAAGGTCCATGGAAAAGGTCCTCCGCCAAATGGAAGTAAAACATGTAAAGAACGAACAGAAATGAAATTTATAAACGCAGTTCTTTACACAACCAACCGAAGACGTGCGGCTGAATTTGCTCCTGGCCATGTCTCCTCTTAAGACTTTCAGGACGAGGAGATTCCTGGTAAAGAAACAAAAGCAGAATCGTCCCACTCCCCAGTGGGTTCACATGAAAACCAGAAGTAAGATCAGGCACAACTCCAAGAGAAGACGCTGGAGAAGAACCAAGTGGGGTCTATAATGAGCCTCACACATGAGGTGGCACACAGTTCACGCTGTGTCAAGGTCACGTGCATCTTCCCAAATCACTCTGAAAACACCACTACTGTCTGAATGGCTGGGTATGTTTAACTGGGAAGATGATTTTTCTCTGTGTCAGTGTTTCTGCACTAGTGCTTTGGCTCAGTAATAAATGTTTGAGACTTTTTGTTGGGGAAAAAAAACATTTGAAAGCATTTAAAACTGATGAACTCCAAACAGTATATATTTTCGTAACTAGTCTGCAAAGTGTTAATCATACTCACTGGCAAAGTCTGTCACTTTCTGTTGGATCACTGGGTTGATTTTTTAAAATCAATTAAATAAATTGATGCCAGTTCTTTCCTTGGAACCATAATAGCTTTAACTCCAATTAAAACTTCCTACCTGGGGCTTTACGGTGTTTCCACTAACAGGAACCAAGGTCTGCCTCTTTCAGAGGCTTTTCTTCTCATTCTCATTTTTCCAGTGACAGTGTAATTCCTACGATGTTCTAAGATGAATGTGTTTTTTCAGTTACACAGTAGTTATTTAAATACGTGCTTCACTTATCAGTGAAGACCTAGTACTTGTTTTGTGACGTTTAATTGCAAATACTAATATATATACATTGCATTTTCACTGGAAAATACTGCATTGAAGCAAAGATGGGACTCGACCAGTGGGTGAGCCAGGGCCAGAGCGGTGGGGCCAGGATTGGGCGGGGTCCGCATAGGGGGCGGGGCCGAGTTGATGGGCGGGGCCCGGACAGCGAGGCGGGGCCCGGACGGGGCGGAGCTCGGCTGACGGGTGGGTATGGGACAGGAAGCGGGGAGAGGACCCAGGATTTAGAAGGGCCGGTGGCTAGCCGGGCGGGTTGGAGGAGAAACGAAGGAAGGGAGGATGAAGGGCGATGCGGCGCGTGATGCCCGAGTAGAAGGGGCAAGGAGGAAACGGAGTGTGATATACGCTCCGGGCGGAGGCCAGAGGGCCCGACGCCAAGGACGCGCGGAGACGGGAAATGGGCGGGGCTCAGGAGGGGCGGGGCCTGTGGGCGTGGCGGGGGCGGTGGGAGACGCGTCGCGGGCGTGGCTGGGGAAGGGCGTGGCCTGGCCCTGGTCGGGGCGGGGCGCCGAGCTCCCGGACCGCACAGAGGCCGGAAGGCGCCGGTAGGTTTCGGAAGGGGCGGTGGCCTGGGTCCGCCTACTGATGCACACGCCGGGCGAACACCTCTCACCTGGCACGTCTAGATGTCCGAGCTGCCCACGGAAACCTACCTCAGTCACGTTTCTCCGCTGGGTTCTCGTCCACACCGCTGGTGCGAAGGGGGGAGACGGCACCCACCAAGAGCCCGAGCCACCGCCCTCGGCCCGCGCACGCGCGCTGTGCGCAGCTTGTCCGCGTAAAAGACCCCGCCTTGGAACCAGCTCCGCGCATGCGCCGCTATACACGCCCCAAGGTCTGGAGAGGGAAGCCCCCGCCCTCGGCTGCGCAGGCGTGGTGCTCTCGGTCCGTCTGCGAGGTGGTCCTGATGTGGTCCGAGCTCACCGCGGGCAGGCACACCTCGTGGGAACCGGCAGCGGCGGCGGCGAGCTCCTAGGTTCCGGCTCCGCCCTGGTGGAGGGACGGGGTCGACAGGAGGGGCGGAGCCCGGGAGCCGTCCTACTGTGGGGACCACAAACCCACCTTGGGGACGGAATGGCTGTTCTCCGGAGCAGGACCCCATTTCTCGTGATTTTCTTGTAATAATTTAATTAACCTTCCCATCCACACTGTGTAGTCCCTATGACATTCTTTCCACTTGACAAGTGGAAGCAGAGGGATGGAGTTTTTATTTTACAGAGGAAGTCTGGGATTTAAAGGAAAGTGGAATAGTGTTAATGCTCCCTGCTGTGCGTGGTCTCCGAGGGTTGTAGGGAGCTGGAGTGGGAAAGGTAGGAGGGAGTCGAATCTTGGGGAAAGGAGGGTGGTGGGCGCCAGGGGCTGGAGGAGAGGACGTGAGGGCGACATACCCACTTTCACCGCTTCTGTTTAACGTTGTATGAGAAATCCTGGCCAGCACAAGGAGGCAAGTGTAAAATAAAATTCATGTTTTATGACAAGACAAGAAAAATTTAAACCTGAAAGTTTTCTCTGCCCTCTGAGGGCTACAGTTGGTGGGGGTGGTGGTAGAGAGGGAGGGTTCGCCCTCTGAGGTTCTGCCTTTATTGGGACTGAGGGTGAGGCCTAGGGTTCTCGGGCTCACTCTTTATTGGTGAATTTAAGACGTTAAGAGTGGAAATTAAGGAGCCGGAAGGGAAAAGCAAGCCGTCAAAGGGTCAGATATCTAGGTCAACCAGTGGGTGGGGTGTGCACTGTGTTCTGCGTTATTGGTTGACCAACCTTCCCATCAGCAGGAACACCTGCTCAACAATAAAGAGCAACTTTCTCCCAGCACCAAGGAGACAAATCCTTAAGAGAGAACATTTTTGATCTCATAAGGGGTCATGATGACCCAGCACTTTGTAATTACAGATCCGTATTATACAAACTACCTGCATCATTTAATGCACAGCCGTTTGTCTGAAAAAAAGCCTGTACAACTGTGCTCTGACCTCTAACGGGTGTAGCAGTTCTCGGAGCTTTCTGAGAGGCTGTCCCCGGGATATAATCCTCAGTTTGGCTTGAAAAAAAATTTTCATTTCTTTCTTAGATCGATTAACTTCTTCATAGACACAACTGAAGCAATAAATAAATACAAAGAAGAACTATTAGAAAGGCAGAAATAAAATTATATGTATTCACAGATGATTAGAACGTTTGCATGAAAGCTCCTAAAGAGACTCCAAAACAATCAGTAAGACCGAGTGAGTGATCGTAGCAAGCTTGTGGGACACAAGGGCAACTTGGAGAAATGTGTTCTGTTAATTAGGAGCAAAATGAACTGTTTAGAAAAACCATTTATAATAGCACGGTCGTGGCTGCACCTAACAATATGCCTTTTGAATATAACATAAGTGCCTGACATTAAGCTTTCCTGATGAGGCATCTGCTTCAAAGACATCCATCTCAAGCAAGCACACCACCAGCCACAGGACCAGGTGAAGGGTCAGGCCACCCCACCCACTGGTTGACCTAGATATCTGACCCTTTGACGGCTTGCTTTTCCCTTCCTGCTCCTTAATTTCCACTCTTACGTCTTAAAGTCACCAATAAAGAGTGAGCCCGAGAACCCTAGGCCTCACCCTCAGTCCCAATAAAGGCAGAACCTCAGAGGGCGAACCCTCCCTCTCTACCACCACCCCCACCAGCTGTGGCCCAACTGTGTGGCCCTGGGCCTGTGTGGGCTCTGTGTACCTTCCAGGACATGTGAGTAATAAAACCTGCCTTTCCAAGCCCCCTGATGGTTGTTCCTGAGGTGCATCTTGCAGTCACAATGAGACCCACCAGAGTTGGTCCAGCCACAATGTTGGCACTGGCAGGGAAGTGTCTGTGTGGGCTGCCACAAATAGTGCCGGCCCAGATGAGGGCCCCAGGAACTTCTAGCTGATAGCATCACTATCTACAGACTGAGTCTGATCCAAAACAAGCATCAACATAAAATGCTAAAGAATAAATTCATGAAAAATGTGTATAAGACTTTTACACTGAAACTAATTTTTAAATGCTGAGAGAAATTTTGAGATCTAAACAAGTGGAGAGAGATTCCATGTTTACATATCAGAAACTCAATATATTTAAGAAGTCAACTCTTCACAATTTGATGGATACAGTCAATAAAATCCCAATCATAAAAAAAACCCCAATCATAATCCCAATATTCTTTTCTTCTAGAAATTGACAAACTCCAAAATTTACAGGGCAATGCTAAGGCCCTAGACTAGCAGAGCAGCCTTAAAAGAGAAGAACAATGTTGTAAGATGTGTACTCTCTGACTTCAAGAATCATTATAAAGATACAGCAACTGAGACAATGTGTAATTGTTAAAATGACATGCAGAGGGATCAATGGAGCAGAGATTCCAGAAGTAGATCCACAATTTTATAGGCATTGATTTCCAACAAAGCTGCCCAAGCAATCCAACAGTTTGAAGAAAGTTTTCTCAAAGGGTGGGCTGCAAGAGCAGGATGTTTGTTTAGAAACAGTGAACCTATATGCTTGCCTCACACAACACAAAAGCTTATTTGGAGTAGATCATAAATCTAAATATAAAACTTTAATGCTAGAAGCAGCAAAAACTCCTTAGATGTAAAAAGCACTAACAACAAAATTAGAAATTGGTAAACTAGACCAGTGGTCAGCAAACATTTGCTGTAAAGGGCCAGAGAGTAACTGTTTTAAGCTTTGAAAGGCAGTCTCAGTCAGAATCACTCAGCCTTGCTGTTGTGACCTGAAAACAGCTGTAGAAAACATGTAAATAGGTGGGTGCAGCTGTGTTTCAATATAAGTTTTACTTACAAACCCAGGCGAAGGGCTCGCTCTGTCCATAGACTGCTGGCAGCTGTATTGGACCATCAAAATTGAAGGCTCTGCTCATCAAAAGACACAAGTAAGAACAGGCAAAACTTAGCCTGAGAGAAAGTAGTTGCAAGACATTTATCTATCAAAAGATTTGTGTACAAAATATATGACTTCTAAAACCGCAAAACTCAATAGACAAGTAAATAAATAGAAATTGCTTAACAGACACTTCATGAAAGAAGATAGCAGTACATGAAAAAATTCCTCAGTACCATTAATTTTGGGGGAAACGAAAATCAGAACTCCAGTAAGGTATCTTTACAACGTCTTTAAAAAGATGTGTGCTCTCTACCATTGGTAAATAATTTGTGACTAGAGGGTGAACTGTGGCGGCTTTTTTAAATGGCTGTAAATTCTTGGGCACCCTTCCCATCAGGCTCCCTCTCCCTGAATCCAGGTGGGCTGAGTCAGTGCAGCAGGAGGCCAGCAGTGACCTCTGAGGCCAGCTCACAGAAGCCCTGTAGCCTCCTCTGGTTCTGCTGGAATGTTTGCTCTTGGGCCCCGCCTTATCGGGGCCAAGTCGCTGTGAAAGCACAAGCCACTGGGGGACACCATTCACTGTGCTCCAGGCATCAGTCCCAGCTGAGCCCAGCCTTCGAGTCCCCTCTCACCAAGTGCCAGACGTGCAATGGAGCAGGGTGCCAGGTGGTTCCACTCCCATCATTTGGGCCACCTGACTACTCCAGGCTCCCCAGCCAGGCCCCCGACATCATGGAGCTGAACCCAGCTGTCCCACTGTGCCCTGACCACTGGTCTGCAAGAGTAAGGAAGTGGTTGAGATTTTACGCTGGTGGCTGGTGGATGGTGGCAGCAACAGTGCCTGGGACAGAGTTTGGCGCTTTGAAGCAGGTGCCTAAAACCTGCCGCATCTGCTTGGGACCAGGTAGGAGCCAGAAGGACCTGAGGGGACTCGGGTGTGGGGACGAGGGCAAGGACAGCAAGGCCATGTCGCTGGAAGCAGAGGAAGGAGGCCTGGCGCTCGATGGGGAGCCGGCGCGGGGTGGCCTGTGTGGACGGGCTGATTACAGGGACCCGGGTGGTGTCACGAGAGTCAGCAGGTGTCTTGTTGCTGCACGTCATGAGGGATGGTCAGAGAGGGAGGGGCTACAGAAGCAATTATCCAATTTTCAAGCAGAACTTAAAAGAACTATAAAGGAGCCAAGATTGGCTGGGCTCAAAAGTGAAACTATTTCTCCTGCCGAGTCTCTCCCAGCAGAAGAGCCTTTGAGGAAGAGCGAGCTCAGGGCAGAGACTGCATCCATAGCACGCTGGGCTGTGGTCTCAGAGAAGAAGTAAGACGAGATGGGACTGAAAAGCCCTCCAAGACTCTGAAAGGGTCTAACTGGTGCCTTGCTCAAATAGGCAGAGGCCTCCCATGTGCCTTATACGTGATGCTCTCGTGTCAACCAGCCTTCCAGAGCCCAGGCCATTGGTCTTGGGAGCCTCCTGGGGGCCAAGTAGAAAAGGGCCTGTTTCAAAGGGATTCAGGTGTAGGCTTTGTCAAATGGAGTGAACACTAGTGAAGTTCATAGAAAAGACACAGTTATTAGGAGAATTGTACTGGCAGAGTTGACACCAGCATGGCCCAGAAGAACCAGTGACATGACACAATGGAAAGAGGCACTTGGACCCCGAGCTCTGACAGGCAGGCAGTAGGCAACACACACAGGCTACTTTTTACAGAAAAGGAAGACTGAGTCATAGCGTGGAATGAAGATTATGGGGGCAAAGTCCACAGAGAATCCTTCCCAGGCACTGCCAGGCCCTCGTGAGGGACAGTGACGTGTGCTGTGTGGGACATGCTACTCTGAACCTCCCACTGCCCCTCCAGAGGAGAATGTTTCATTGTGGCCCTCCTGTCCCCATCCCCACTCTGGATGTGTGGTGGGCGGACAGACTCAGGTAACCTGCCTCCTAGGTCACAGTCTTCCCGC